AGGTTTCCCCAATTTAACAAGGAAGTCTTAGAATCTAACAGTGGCCTGGTGTCATGCCTCTCAGAGCATGGTCCTTGCACCAACGGCACCCATGTGGCACAACTTATGCCAGACCTGCCAGGTCAGAAACTTGGTAGCAAGGTCCAGTAATTTACAAGTATTTTAATTTACTTGTATTTTAACCAGTCCTCCTCTGCTAAAGGATAAGAATCACCAGTTTAGTGCACACAGCCCAGTGTTAAGGCAGGGCCTCACTTTGTCACCCTTGGTAGAGTATCATGGTGTCATAGCTCACAGCAACCTCAGACTCTCAGGCTTAAGCAATCCTCCTGTCTCAGCCTCCCAAGTAGCTGGGATTAAAGGTGCCTCCCACGACACCCAGCAAGGCAGGTGGTTTTATTGAAACAATCCGACTCACTCCATCCTTTTATCAAATATGTGCCAAAGGTATGTCACGTCAGATCCAGTGCTGTGATGGGGACACAAAGGTGAACTGAAAAGCTCCTCGCTCTGGGCGAGCACGCTTGCTCTTTCACTCATTCTAAGTACACATGTGCATGCAGGCATGCACACACACTCTCAGCTGAGCTAACAGAATTGATACTGCTCAAGGCATGGTCAGGAAGCACACAGGGAACTAAGGGCATCATCTTGTGTTCAAGAGCTTTAGGGAAGGCTTCCTGAAGGAGGAGCACCAGAGCTTGAGTTAGCTGATAGGGGTGTGTGGCATGAAGAGCACCAAGAATTACTAGGCCGTGGAAAGAACATGAGCAAGGCTCTGAAACACAGGCAGCCTATGGGAAGCTGGCAGTGCCAGTGTGGCTGATACATGGCACGACACAAGACTTGCAAGGGGTAAGGGGCCTGGGTGGCCAAAGGGCAGGGTTGAGGCTGTGTTCTGAGGGTTCTAGGAGTTGTAGGAGGGTTTGGAGTAGGGGATAGACACAGCCAGACATAAAAGAACCTTCTGCTTGCCAAGTGGAGGATGGATTAGGAGAGGTATGATAAAGCCCTCTGGGGTGGCCAGGGCAAGGCAGCAGGGAAGGAGGAGGGGGCAGGTGACAGAAATGTGCAGGAGGCTGAGTGGATGGACAAAGGGCAAATGGCAAAGGAGGCATCAGGATGAGGCCCAGGGCCTGAGGATGGGGGACTACTGGCTGCCCCTGATACAGGGACTGGGGAGAGGAAGGACATAGGCACTGAGGCTGAAGGCAGCGGGGAGCAAGCTCAGCTGGAGCCAGGTCCTGAACGACCTTCAATGCCAAGTTGCAGAGCTGGGCTTATCCGGAGGGCACTGGGAAGCCAGGGAGGATATGGGAAGATCTCTCAGGCTGCTAGGTTGGGGATGGCTACACGGGTACAGGACTAAAGCCTGAAGACTGTCAAACCGGCCAATGCTGATGGTCTATTCTCAGGGGTGGGGCAGAGAGTCAGATGAGTGGCCATGCTAGATGGCAGTCTTACTGCTGAAGAAAAGCCAGCAGTGACCCCCACTCAGCCCACTTCGGCCTTTTTTGTTTTACCATAACATGGGGACACTGTACTGATGTCCTGACACGGTGTGAGGGCGGCACACTTCCTACATGAGCATGGAAACCTAGTCGTCAGGCTTAGGAACTACAAAGGGAGCAGCCCTAAATTTAATATGAGACATAGCCAATCCCTTGGGGGAGGGTCCTCTGATGACCTTCAAGGGTCCAGAAAGCCCATAAAATGGCAAACAAAATTGTACGGGGGCTGCATATCCCGGGGAAGAAGGATCCACAGCTTTCATCAGGTTCCTTAATTTGAAAAGAATGAAGAGATTCTGACCTTTCTGGGGATGGCTTGTATCTCGCGTAGGTAGCTGAGCCGGGGGTGGAGAAGCTCCCAGAAGGCTGTCGGTAGGGAGGGACTCTGTCGGCCCCTGCTGGTGATGCCGTGTAAGGGGTTTCTGGGAAACTGACTGGCCTGGAATGACAGACAGGAGAGGAAGGAGTCAGGCGAAAGGGAGGGGACCCTTGTCCTCAGAGGATGCGTGGACAGATGGGCCTTTCCTGCAGGCCCAGCCACATCTCGTCAGCTCTCTACTACTAGGGATGGAGAGACAGGTTCTGAGCATAGGGCAGGGGGAAGCTGGATACCCCCGTCTCCTCTTCTAGGTTGCACTGCTGTCCCCCCACCCCTCAGCTTTTGCTCTACAAATTGGATTTATTCATTTTGGGCAATTTTTTCTTTATCTTTTAATATAAAATATATTCAAAAGAATATCTGTAAGTTATATTTGTTATTATAATAAAACAAACTCCCTATAGCTTTCACCCATCCCAATGACTAGCAAAGGGCTGATAACTCCAACCTGAGGCCTCCCTTCCTCCCTGCCGTCCCAAGAAGAAATCACTGTCCTAAATTTCATGCTTATCAGTCCCTCCACCTCTTAAAAAAAAACAACAGAGTTTCACTGAGCTCCCCAACACTGAGCAAGAGGCCCACATTGACACTTCAAGGGGAGGCAGGGCGGGAAGGAACATGGAGACATGAGGGTAAGAGGGGAGGCAGGGAGGCTCAGGCGAGAAAGAGACTAGAGGAAAAGGAGGGGAGAAAGAAGGGCCAAGAACATGAGTGGACATATGGCAGGAGGGGGTGGGGATCGCCCTTGGTGGGTCCTTACCTCTTGCTGTGTAGTGGCTGGGACTCCCGGAAGGGGACCATGGGGGCCTGTTTTGGGGGCCGGCTCAGGGACTGGGCATGGCCGGGGGTGGCTGGAGTGGCCCACTTAGAGGCTGGTAGAGAGTTATGGGATGCGGGCCCACTCCACTGCCAGGGAGCATTGCTGCGGTAGGGGGGCCGGCCCCCAGGTGTGAGGCTGTCCTGCTCAGTCTTGGGCTCCGAGGTATTCATGTCATAGGTCTCCGGCCACCCCCTGGGAAGAAAAACTTTGTTACTCAGAAAGGCCCCGGCCCACCAGCACACGTGCCTGCTGCCAGAGCTGAGTTTCCCTGGCCAAATCCAAACCACGATGGCCTATTTCAAAAATCAAGTGGATAGCCTTTAAATTGGTCGGAAACTTACCAGCTCAGAGACCTCAACCAGGACAGGGCCCAACACAGGGGCTCTGATTGCCAGGCCCTTCTTACGTCACCTCCTCTCCCGTCCTCCCACTCTCCCGTTTCTCTTCCTCTGCCTTCCACCTGACCCAGGCCTTGAGTCTGCCAGTGCCCTCTGTGGACCAGCTTGGCCCCCTTTAGCTGTACTTGGGGCCAGGAAGACAGATGCCCTCAGAATCAAAGGACAGTATCTGCCTTGTTTCAAACAATCTCAAAGGCAGCTGGAAGAGGAGCAGGTGACCTACTTTGCAGGGTGGTTAAAAAAAAAAAAGCCACGAAATCCAGAACCTTGAAATAGATGCAGAACGGCCTGTGACTCCCCCCAGACCAGGCTGGCACAGATACTGCAGCATTCCTGGCCTGAGGCAGGGAGATCTGCTAGCAGGGCTGGCATTCTCCACCACTGCTGCAGCCCTGCACCAGAGGGGGCTCTGAGCCCGAGGAGGGGCTGTGCTCACAAAATCTACCTCCCAGCAACTGTGAGAGATGAGCTTTGGGGAGCCCTCAGCCTGGAAGCTCTCATGCCCCCATTGAGCCAATCCTCTAGGCTCTTGTAAGTTACCTGGAGCCCAGAGAAATTTCATGGCCACCCAGTAAAATATCTGGAGGACTTGGTACCTAGAGTCTGCTATGTCCCCCAGAAGTCAGGTGCTGGAAACTTAATGCCCAATGCAACTGTTGGGAGGTGGGGCCTAATGGAAGGTATTGAGCGTAAAGTCCTCATGAATGAATGAATGCTGTTATGAAAAGGGCTTGTGGCAGTGTGAGAACTCTCTGCAGGTGAGGACATGGTGTCCCTCTTCTCCAGAGGGTGCAGCATTCAAGGTACCATCTTTCTTTCTTTTTTTTAGAGACAGAGTCTCACTTTGTCACCCTCAGTAGAGTGCAGTGGCATCACAGCTCACAGCAACTTCCAGCTCTTGGGCTTAGGTGATTCTTTTGTCTCAGCCTCCCGAGTAGCTGGGACTACAGGCAGCAGCCATAAAACTCGGCTTTTTTTGTTGTTGTTGCAGTTTGGCTGGGGGCCGGATTTGAACCTGCCACCCTCATTACATGGAACTGGCGCCCTACTCACTGAGCCACAGGTACTGCCCCAAGTTACCATCTTTCAAGTAGAGAGATCAGGTCCTAGCCTGCCAATACTGTGACCTTGGACTTCCAGCCTCTAGATCTGTGGGAAATCCAGCCAGGGAGTGGCTGGAGACCTTTACAAATTATGTAGTTTCAGGTATCCTGTTACAGCAGCACAAAACAGATTAAAGACAAAGGCTGTGGGCCCAGGACATGGCTGGTAAGGATTCATCAAATGGTAGACCAAGGACGTGCTCTGGTGCCTGGGCCCAACATACTGCGTCCCTCAGCAGTGTTATGGTTGGGCCCGACATTCAGCAGTTCCTCCTGGTTATCTCCTGGGACTGGTAGGTGCTGATGTCTCACCAGGCATCAGGTGAGGGACATCAACAATATGAGCGTGCAACAGAGCCTATAAGTATACCAGGCCTGGGCAGAAGAGAAGAAAGGTGCCATCATCACCCCCAAGCAGCACGCACCTGCTGTTCCTGCCCGGCTGGCTTCTACACCTCTTTCTCCTGATAACAGGTCTGTGTGCTCAGGGTGGGACTCATCCCACTTCTTGGCTCTAGGTGTGAGCACATGACCCAGGCCTGACACTCAGAAATGTTTCTCCCCCAGGGTACAATGATTTGAGCACAGGAATGCATGTGTCCTAAGTAGGGCTACTCAGAGCCAGCACAGAACTGCTGCTGGAACTATTAGGTGAAAAAACCTATTTCTACTGAAGCTGCTGAGCTAGGGTGGGACCCAAGTCCAGAGCTGCATGTGGGGGTCATCTTTATCCCCAGGAGGTGGGAGACCACCTAAGAATGACAGCAACACAGAAAAGGGGACATATGATAGAGACTCTTGATGAAGGTATCTGAGTCCCTGGATACAGCCATGCCTGAATCTTCCCTTTCTCCTAGCTTGTCACGTACATGAGCCAGGGAAGACTTTTGCTTCACTATGTTTGAGTTTGTTCTGTTGCTGGTACTCATAGTCCTGATCAGTTTATCACATTGTAGAGATAAGTTAATTTGAGACAAGAAGTAACTTGTCCAAGGTCACACAGCTAGTAAGAGGTAGAAACTGGATATAAACAGTGAGTTAACTCCAAAGCCCACAATTTTAACAGCCATCCACAATGGCCCACTGTGTAGTGGTTTGGAAGCCCACAGGTAGGTATCTTGAGCCTTTGACCTTTTCTCTAGTTACTGATTGCTTCATCTTGAGCTAGGAGCCAGTGAATATGAATTCAAAGAGGGAAACACAGCTGGGCATAGTGGTATATGCCTGTAGTCCCGGTTATTCAGAGGGCTGAGTCAGAAAGACCACTTGAGCACAGGAGTTCAAGGTCAGCCTGGGTAACATAAATAGATCCTGTCTCTTAAAGAAAAGAAAAAAGAAAGAAAAATAAAGGAGGAAAATAGTATTTAATTACTTTGAAGGCAGTACCGAGAGGTAGAGAGCCAAGGTTCCTGGGCCAGATGGCTGGGTCAGATTTCAGCTCTGTTACCACCTGCATGGTTTTGGCAGGGGCATTTCCTTCTCATAGCCTCAGTTTCCTAATCTGTAAGATGGGGGTGGTTCTATGCATCCTATGATCACTGGCAGAGAGTCTGGTATATGCCAAATGCTTAACAAACTGAAGCTGTTGCTGTTGCTTTCTCCAGCTGATTCTATGGACTGTCTACCCACTCTTCATACAAACTCAGAAGCTGAAGCCTCCCTTCCACTTTCTGAAATCCACCCACACCCACCTTGGGGCTCTGGAAAAAAATTCCTCCCCAGCTCCTACTCTCCAACCTTTCCTGGTGATCTGAAAATCCCCAACATCTAGATCACCCTGAGTGTTCAGGGAAAATACAGATTCCCCAGTCCTGCCTCAGCTCACGGATATCAGAAGCCTCCCCTTGAGGCGAGGCCCAGGAATCTGCACTTTACTGAGCAACCTGTGCTGACACTGATGTTCAACCATAACATTAGAGAAGCCCCACTTCACTGATTTAATTTCTGAAGTGACATGAAAGGGCATCCTTATCTTCATCCCTGTTTCACCCACCAGAAGCAGCTATTGCTCTTAATTTCTTGTGCATTCTTTTGGAAACATCCTATGCAGACAAGCAATTATTACTTAAAATAGGCCAGGTATACCTGTATCCCAGTACTCTGGGAAGATAGCTGGAGCTCAGGAGTTTTAAACCAGCCTGAGCAAAAGCAAGGCTCCATCTCTACTAAAAATAGAAAAACTAGCTGGGCATTATGGCAGGTGCCTGTAGTCTCAGCTACTCTGGAGGCTAAGGCAAGAGGATCACTTGAGCCCAAGAGTTGGATGTTGTTGTGAGCTATGACAACACCATGGCACTCAACCCAGGGCAAAAAGTGAGCCTGTATCTAAAAAAATAAATAAATAAATAAAAATTATAGCTGGGTGTTGTGGTGGGTGACTATAGTCCCAGCTACATGGGAGGGTGAGGCAAGAGGATTGCTTGAGCCCAGGAGTTTGAGGTTGCTGTGAGCTAAGATGCCACGGCACTCTACTGAGGGTGACATAATGAGACTGTCTCAATAAATAAATAAATGAATAAATAAGTAAATAAACATTATTACTTAAGGCTGGGAGAGGTAGCTCACACCTGTAATCCCAGCACTCTGGGAGGCCAAGTTGGGTGGATTGCCTGAGCTCACTGGCTTGAGACCAGCCTGAGCAAGAGTGTCTCTAAAAAATAGCTGGACACTGTGGCAGATGCCTGTAGTACCAGCTAGTTGGGAGGCTGAGGCAAGAGAACCACTTGAGCCCAAGAGTTTGAGGTTGCTGTGGAGCTATGATGCCATGTCACTCTACTCAGGGTGACAAAGTGAAACTCTGTCTTAGAAAAAAAAATGACTTAAAATGGTAATAAAAAGACAGCACACTATGGCTTGGTGCCCGTAGCACAGTGGTACAGCATCAGCCACATACACCAAGGCTAGTGGGTTTGAACCCAGCCCGGGCCAGCTAAACAACGACGACAACTGCAATAAAAAAATAGCCAGGCATTGTGAAGGCAAAAATGGAAACCTAATATACACATGTGTAAGTAAGAAAAATAAATAAAAAAAAAAAAAGAAAAAAAAATAGCCAGGCATTGTGGTGGGTGCTTATAGTCCCACCTACTTAGGAGGCTGAGGCAAGAGAATCACTTAAGCCATGAGTTGGAGGTTGCTGTGAGTTGTAATGCCACGGCACTCTACTGAGGGTGACAAAGTAAGACTCAGTCTGAAAAAAAAAAAAAAAAAAGCACACTATGTCCCTGCACAGCATTGCCTCCCCCACAATGAACATAATATACCCCCTTAGCAAAATGCATTCATTTCATTGTCTTTAAACAATTGATTAATATTATAACATCACCCAAGGACCTGGGGTTGACTCAGCTGGTTCACTATGGATGGATTTTAGGTTGCTTTTAGGCTTCTGCCTACACCAGAAGTATTCATAAATACTCCCATCTTAGCCTCCTGGTTCACACACAGATGGTGTTTGCCCTCTACCCAGCTATGACCACTTTCTCTCACTGCCTCCTTTCCTTGAGTCCTGACAGCCTCGTTTCTGGGAGTCACAGGCACTCCTTTCTTATCTCCTCTGCTCACTCACTTATGGGGTTTTGATATCCCTTTTTAGGAGGAATTTCCAACCTCCCCTGATCAGAGGCATTAGATCTAAGTAATGGGGAAAAAGACATTCCAGGATGGTCATCTCCAACAGGCTATAACAGAGACAGTGGGATAAGAGCATCCCTCCTGAGCCTGCACAACTACTCAAGGTCCTGGTGACACATCTTATCAGAGGCTCAGGACATCTTCCCAGAAGCTTGGTCCAGCCCAGCTTTGGTCCAAGGCCTGGGTCTCACTGAGAACTCTAGCCTTGTGGCCTGGGGGTGGGAGAATGACCCCTTGCACTGCTCTTAGTGTCTTTTTTTTTTTTTTTTT